AGAACGATCCTGTTACTAAGGGAGCAGCAGCAAGAACGGGAGCAGGAGCACGACAACAGTTCATTGATGATACTATCAAGCACCTTGACGGTTTGGATTACCGTAAGATTCAACGCATGTATAAGCAGGCCGGTGTACCGTACATACGAAAACCTCAAGTCGTCTTATCTCTTGCAGAACATCGGGCTCAGACCGCCTATGAAGGGATAAACGAAGGATTACCATGTAACGATCCGGATCACGAAAAGGAAGAGTCATCGGCAACTTCGAGCGATAAGACATCTGAACCTGACGAGTCGGAATTCTCGCAGGACTCACCAGAATCCGAGAAGAAAAAACAGGCGTGAAGTGGTAAGAGCAACACAGAACTCTGGGAATGTTGTAAATCCTTGGCCCACGCACGGAGAGTAGATGGGAATGTTAAGAAGGAGTTAGAGTCTTTGTTCCGTTGGGCTGTTGTGGCACTCGCTATCCATTGTTGTATCCCATGGTTGTCTAAACTCGTCAAGTACTGCTCGGACCTAGTCGTAAAGGATTCCGATATCTTTGACGATCCGAGCAGTTGTGTATACATAGGGGTTTCACCATGGTGTAGAGCTACCTATGTTGGAAAAACCGAGAGGGCTGTTAACACCCGATGAGTTGAGCATAGACGTAGCAGTAATAGCGGAGTGGTTGATTGTTCTTCTTCTCATTTTCACCGTTGGTTGGAACGTTGTGGGGTGCAGAACTACGTTTTGATACCCGTCTTTAAGGATCACGTGAGTAATCTCCTTAGTCTGGAAGATCTCCTCATTCGTACATGGTCACCAAGTCTGAATACTAGGGGAGTAAAGGGGAAGCGATTGAATAAGAGACAATCGAGAAAGGGGAGGCGGGGGCGAAAGGAAAGAAAGAAGCAAAAGTTGAAGAAAGGAAAAAAGAGTTGTCGGAAGAATAAGCAAATCGATGGAAAGGTCGTCCGAGTGAGGGTTGGGAATGAACCAGTTAGCACAGTGAGGGTCTTACAGACCTTGTATAATCAGGAGGAAAGAGGTCAGGGATGTTTTATTTTGAAATCCGAGGGGGGTAATGTGTGGTGCGATAGATGGAGGACTGTCAAGAGTATTTTTGGGAATTCTGAGGTTTTGGTAGAAGGGCACAGTAAACTCCTTCGGCAGTGCAAGGGAGATGTGGAAGAGGGAAAGACGATCGGTTTCCTCTTTTTGAAACGTTGGAAGAAGCATAGTAGGAGAAATCACACCTTTCTGGTGAATGTGTTGAAGCAGCCAGGAAAACGCTCCTCTTTGCATTCTCGAGATCTCCGTTTTGTGGCCAAACTGTTGATAGTAGTTAAGGAATTTAAGAGGAAGTCAACTAGGCAGCTCTTGAGGAGAATTTTGTTTGGTAGTATTAAACAAGGGTATGGTTTCAATTTGGGGGTCAAGTTGATTGTTCGAGTACGTTTTGATGATAGAAGCAGTTTGGGAGGTGTGCGTAGACTGTGTGATGCAAAGATAGACGATACCGGTTTTCCTGAAATGATAAAGAACATCTACAAGAAAAAAGTCAGGATAGTTTGGACAAAAAACCCACCTATTACATCCTCTGTAATCATCGCAAGGCCGCCTCGAAAGAAGTCCAGGCCTGCACTTGCAGTGGGTACGAATTACCTTGGTTTGAGGGTCATGTCAGATGTCGGTTGGGGGAAATTCAAGGATTACCGGTGGGCATGCATAACGACAGAAATATTCCTAAGTCACGAAGGAAGTTCCGTGAGGAATCTCTGATGCAAGAAGTATCGGAGTCGCTAGCGAGATGGAAACCTGGTCCAGCAGTGTCGCTAAGTGTTAGTCTAGAGGAATTACATGCATGAATCAGTCGATGGGTATTGGAATTGGAGTGTCTGTGGAAGACGTCCTGCAAGTCAAGGACAGGTTTTCTGATTTGGTTTTCTCCCCGGTTGATCGTAACGTGGGTGAGATCATCGTTATCTGCCCCAAGATGTATTACGACGCTATGTGTGACTTGTTCGTTCGGAGTCCGGGGTATGTGGCCCTGACTCAAGACGAGGAGGATGTGTGGAAGAAAGCCTGTAAGGATTTCAATCATTTGGGACTCGATAATATAGGCAAATGGGAAGGAAAAGGAAAAGTCGGATGTGCTTATGTGATGCCTAAGCACAAGGACTTGAGCCGCTTCCATCCCATTTGTCCAACTTTTAATGAGCCTACTGTGCGTATTTGCAGAAAAAATTCCAAGGCATTGAACTTTTTCTTGAACTCCTTACCGCAAAGTTGTCATTTCAACCTCCAGTCGGCGGAACATCTGGCTAAAAGAGTGCAAGCGGCAAATTCACATATGAAAAAGGCCTACAAGGATAGCAGAGTGATAGCAGCCTCGTACGATATCATGGACATGTTCAGTAGGTTGCCTCACGATGAGATCCTGCAAGCACTGGATTGGATCGTAGACTGTTTCGGGGACAAAAAATCAATACAAGTGAATCCTCGGGGTAAGGGTGTGTCGTTTAGAGCAAAAAAGGCGGAGAGATTGTGGTCTGTGGATATGTCAGATTTAAGACATTTCGCTCGTTTTGAATTGTCTCACACGTATACTCGAGCATCTAATATTTTGTTGCAGCAGGTTATTGGGATCCCAATGGGAAAAAGTTTGAGCCCGCCACTAGCATGTATATTGTGTGCATATGCTGAGTGGTGGTTTCTCGAAACTTTGGGGAGTGATCGAAGGTTGGTTTTTGGAATCAGGCTTATGTACCACGTTTCGTTGCTCTTAGCCTACAAGGCGGGGGACTCTGGGTCTCTCGGACGTGCGAACCGTATTCGGAAGAAATTTGAACATTGTTATCCCAAATTGCTCACCCTGAAGAGAACAGACGAAAAGACAGGAGTTTGGGATTTCCTGGGCTGCCGAATGAGGATTGGCCAGGAATACCCCTTTTTAGGTAGCATCCAACGGACCAAGAACGAAGACTCGATTTGGGAGTCGGGCATGGTGGTTCAAAAAACTGGCCAGGACTTTCTGTCCTGGTCCAGCAGGAAGCAGAAACTGGCCGAGATAACAGGCTGGTTGAATCGGATCGACCAGAATACTACGGTCCGCTCCGACATCCCAAAACAAGTCCTCACGCTACGGAAGGAATACAAACTCAAGGGCTTCTCAGACAATTTCTTTGGTACCGGTCTAAAAAACCTCGCGCGGTCTAAGGACGAAATGTGGAGGTTTACGGCCGACCTACTGGTAGGATTTTAGTTGGTAGTACTATATATAGGTAATACATACGCTTAAGTTGTCCTCTTTGATCACGACATGGCGCCGGGGGTTACCCCGAATGGGGAGGTGGACGATGGGTTTAGTTTCGGGCGACGAAAGGAGGGGAAGCGGATAGTAGACTCATGAGACCGCACCACTCGGTTCTCTTGTATGTAGTTGTTTCTCTACAAACAAGTCGTGCTGTGATTTTGTTGGACTCTCAGCTTCAGTCATTGTCGTCTCGTGTCGGCTATTGTCGTTTCGTGTCAACTATGATTGACACAGCTTCAGTCATTGTCGTCTCTTGTCGGCTATTCGTTGTTTCGTGTCGGTTATGATTGACATCCATTGTCATCTTGACTTTGAATGCTTGTGTGTATTTCTCACCCCCTGCTGGCACACTCACTCATTTTAATTCTCTTTTTATTTTTTCTTATTTTTATCATAGTGTTTATTTTCTGTATTTGATTTTTAATTCAAATTTGGTAAAGCATTTGGATGTAGTGCCCAGGCAAATGTTGTTTAGTTTATTTTTATCCATAACATGTTTTTTTTTTTCGGAATTTTTGGAAAAACGTTTGTTTTTTTTTTTGGTCCGTTCGGCCCGAACGACCGAACGCCTTCCAAAGGGGTCCCGTACGTTCGGGCGTTCGGGTTCGGGCGTTCGGGTTTGGGCGTTCGGCCCGTCCCGAACGCCGGTAACTCTGTTGGCACCTAATATAATTAAAATATTATTATTGTTTTCTGAATTTTTTTCTGTGAGCTCTTTGTGATGTAAGGTATCTCCCTCTTCAGTTTGAAGCCAATCTGTTGAGCCAAAAAAATCGGCAAAGATGGTGGTGTCAAAACTTGCTTGCCCACTCGCTAATTTGTATTTCCTCTCTTTTCACTTTTTGTTTTTCCTTTATTTCGGGGCATGAAAAAAATTATTATTTTTTCAAACTTTATTGTAGATTCTCTATTATGTAAGATACACATATATAAATTTTCATGGCATTTGTCACAGCCCAAGAAAAATGCAAAATCGCCAGAGATGGCGGTGTCAAAGACGTGCTCGCCCACTCAATAATTTCATTCTCGTTTTATTTTTTTTTATTTTTATTATTATTATTTATGTTTAGTTTTATTTCAAATTTGGTAAAGAATTTGGATGTAGCGTTGAGGCAAATGTTGTTTAGTTTATTCTTCTGCATAACATATACTTTTTTCAGATTTTTTTGGAAATCATTGTGTTTTTTTTTTTGGGTCCGCGTTCGGCCGGACGGCCGAACGCGTCGAGAGGGGGTGCCGAACGGCAGGGTGTTCGGGTTCGGGCGTTCGGGCCATCCCGAACGCCGGCAACCCTGTATATATATATCTATATATTTGGTACAGACCACCGGGGCCCGGGAACACACCCGTTACATATCTACCCGGTACAACTTGCTGAGGTCAAACTCAGCTTAGGCTCCTGGAAACCGGGTCCAGTGTCCCTTGAAGGAATCTCCAACAAGAAAAATGCAAAGCAAATCTATGGCAGTACAATATCCTTGCTACTCAGGAAAACACCAGCATGTTTCTAAATTCGAAACACTAATGGCAAAGAACTACGAGCTATAAACCGCAAATCTCGAAAGTGCACAAGGCAATTCACTGAATTGTTTCCAAGAGCATGCTAAATTCTTAGATGCAGAACAGTCCAAGTGCATACTAAACTAATCTTGACCGATTTGAAACTGGGCGTATTTATATTGTGTACAGAAAACAGA